AGGACGGATCGTGGTGGCGAGTTCTTGTCAAAGGAGTTCACCAAGTTATGTGAAGACTACGGCATCAAGCGTCATCTCACTGCACCGTACACCCCGCAGCAAAACGGTGTAGTGGAGAGGCGTAATCGCACGGTGATGGACATGGCGAGAAGCTTAGTTAAAAGCATGCATATGCCCGGAACGATGTGGGGCGAAGCGGTTAGACACGCGGTGTACATACTCAACCGACTACCAACCAAGGCATTGCACGACCACACACCCTACGAAATTTGGTTTGGTAAGAAATCCCACCTAGAACACTTGAGAGTTTTCGAATGTGTGGCGCATGTGAAAATTGCAGGTCCTTCACACAAGAAACTCGACGACCGGAGCACGCCAATGGTGTATATTTGGGTAGAAGAAGGAAGCAAAGCGCTTCGCCTCTACGACCCTCAACACGGCAGAATTCATGTCAGCAGAGACGTCATGTTCGAGGAAGGAAAAGAGTGGGAATGGAGCGCCGATGGAGTCGAAAGATCACCCAACTGGGTGGTGTTCGCAGCGGAAGGGGAGACTGCAGCAACCGGCACAACAGCCGGCGCATTTCCAGCAGTCCAAATTAGACAGCAAACAAACCGAACTGCTGCAGCAGTCCCTGGACAACCTGCTGGCCGAACAGCCCCTGCAGGAACTCCTGCTGGCCGAACACTGACCGGAGATGAGCCTGGATAGCCGGTACACCAAGCGAGGCAGCCACCTGCTGCCCGAACCCTGTGTTACAATAATATATCAGCATATTCTGAATTATTTCGTTTCATCTTGCTTTTTTGGTGCAGACACTTGAACTGTCACATGCCCTTTCTTCTCTCATGTTGCTCTGTGGCCCCATTGCAGGGTTTATTGTAAGCATTTAACTTTATACTCTTTCTTATACTTCTTTGCAGATATGTCTCACGACACCTGCAATTATCACAAATCATTTCATTTAAGGCATTACGTCATGCAAAAGTGGTATACTCTTAATTGTTTTGTTCTTGGGTTTTGCCTTCAGGTTCAACCCTGTGTTGGTTTCTATAGTGACAAATGTCAGTCAAGATTTGGAAGGAGAAGACCATTTATATTGGTCGGATGTCTCTTTATCTGTTTAGCTGTGAGTACGGTAATCTCTATAAAGTTTTCTATGTTTGCCCTTGAGTTGTTTTACATCATTTGTTTACCTATATCTCAGGTGATTGTAATTGGATTTTCTTCCGATATAGGCTATGCCTTAGGTGATACCAAGGAGGATTGCAGGTGAAATTCTCTCTCTTACTTGTATTAGGCACGGTTTGGTTTTGGGGAGTGTGAAAAAGGAATTCCTTTCCTTGTGTTAGTTACTGGAGAGTAGTGGAGAGAAAAGAGACTATTTTATAAAAAAGCAGTGAAAAGAGACTGTGCGGGTTAAAAATTTATTTGTTCTGGCATGAATGTGATCAAAACTCTCATTTCAAACATACAGTGTTTATCATGGCCCTCGGCGGAAAGCAGCAGTTATATTTGTCGGTGGTTTTTGGGTATTGGACTTTGCAAACAATGCGGTGCAGGTAATCCTATAATTAGCTATGTAGTATGAGTTCTGGCTTCAATACATATATTTTGTATGTCGCTAATTCCTGAGCTCAACAGGGCCCAGCTCGAGCTTTGATGGCTGATCTCTCAGGTTAGAAGTTTATTTATTCTGGCTCTGAGTGATAGATAGAATGTCCTACATTTTCTCTGTGATTTGCTATAAAACTGTTAATTTCATCTGACATTTGTTTTTGAAATAGGCCGCTTTGGGTACAATGCAACAAATGCAATTTTTGCGTTTTGGATGGCTTTTGGAAACATCCTAGGGTACGCTTCTGGTTCAACTGGAGAATGGCACAAGTAAATATACATTCCTTTCCCGTTTATTGGTGAATTATTTGAGTTCAATTATAAAACATTCATGGATCCAATTCCATTAAATGTTCTGATTTACATAAACAAGTAATTGCGTTCTTTATTGCTTTTTTGTTTTAATTTTGACATCCTTTGGGTTAACCTTTGGCAGTTGGCTCCCTTTCCTTAATACGAGCGCCTGTTGTGATGCGTGTGCAAATTTGAAGGGAGCATTCTTAGTTGCTGTGGTAAGTTCTCGTGCTATCTTTTGATATTCCCACTCTATAATGAATAGTTTTCTATGTCTCATTCATACTTTAGGACAACTTTAAACTAGTATATGTGTAACAAAGGACTTGTGTTATAACAAAGGACAGAGAGAACAATTTAAAATCAACCATGTGTATGAGTGTAGGCATACATCAGTACATGTGCATGTGTTGTCATGCATGCTTAACGCTTGAACTTCAGAAGCAAGGATACAATAATATGTCATACCTAATTCTAGTCACTCCTTAGCTGATCATTCAGCAAAATGAACTACTTCCACATATTTTCCTTGCAGTCCTCATCAATTTAGTCTTCTTCTGTAGTTTGTTTTAGCAAATATTTTTGGTATACACATTTTCATAAGGCTCTTGGTGCAACCCAATTCTTGTACAATCCAATTCTTATTCTATGAAATATTAGTGCTCTTGGTTATCCTGGTTAAAAAAATGAAGTGGCAGGTCTTGTCCCCTGAATCAAAGTCTCGAAAGATTGACATTTCAAATCCCTTGTACTAATTTGTGATAAACATGAAGCTCATGGCTGACTGATTTCTGTTCTGTAACTGTAGTAAGTACTAATTCTTCGTTGACTTGCAGGTTTTTCTCCTCTTATCCATGCTGGTTACATTAATCGTCGCAAAAGAAGTCCCTCTGTCTAGTATCCCTGGCAAAGGTGAAGAAGAGCACAGAGCAGAGTTCCTCGATATCTTCAGAAGTATCAAAAACTTGCCTCCTGGAATGCCTTCAGTACTTCTCATCACCGGTCTTACTTGGGTATGTAATTTATGTTTTTTTAATCTTTAAAGAAGTTAGCATAATTGAACTCAAATAATTCACCAATAAACGGGAAAGAAATGATCACAGGTCAGAGAGCGCTCGATCTCAACCGTCCAAGCGGACAACATAATGTAGTACACTGGGCCAAGCGTTGACACGGAGTGGATGGGCCGTGAAGTCTTCCATGGGAATCCAAAGGGAACACCATCGCAAATTGATGCCTTCGACAGAGGGGTTAGAACCGGTGCATTTGGTTTGCTATTAAATTCGGTAAGTACTTACAAAGGCTAACAATAAAGGTGACGCTACAGGCACACCCTTGGCCACACCCCTCTCGCTGCAGTGCAGAGGGCCCCATTTGAGATTTTAAAAAAAATCTCAAGTGGGGCCCCTGCACCGTAGCAAGAAATTCTTGTTACGGTCTAACTCTCTTGTTGTGCTGCTGAGGTTCTGCCAAAATTTTCGCTGCGCACAACATAAACCAATGCTTGTGATTTCTGCATATGTCTTATTAGTAGTAAGGCTCTTCATTTTTCTTATTTTAGATTATTCTCGGGATTGGTTCTTTCATGATTGAGCCCCTTTGCCGAAAACTCACTCCAAGAATTGTTTGGGTGACAAGCAACTTTATGGTGTGCCTTGCAATGGTTGCCACTACGATCATGAATGTCTGGTCCATGCACTATACTGATTGAGCCCCTTTGCCGAAAACTCACTCCAAGAATTGTTTGGGTGACAAGCAACTTTATGGTGTGCCTTGCAATGATCGCTTTATCGAACCGAATGGCAAAGTCAAAGCGTTTGCATTATTTCTCTTTGCATCTCTCGGTCTTCCCCTAGCTGTTAGCTAGTATTCTTCCAGTTTTATATTTTGCTCCCTCTTTTTTACTTTTTGTTATTAACTGGATATTTTTGACATGATTATTCTATTGCTTGTAGGTTCTGTATAGTGTTCCTTTTGCGGTTACAGCGACATTAGCTGCTAGCCGAGGAGGTGACCAAGGTTTGTTGTGATGATTTTTTGGTGTATCATCTTTACTTATCCAAGTTCCTTGAGTTTGGTTTTAATGAGTTTTGTTCTTTTGCAGGGTTATGCGCTTGGATTTTAAACATTTCGATTGTTGTCCCTCAGGTCAGTTGCAAAAAAACCTAGCAATGAGATATTCAACAATATGCTTAAACCTTAATTAATTACCTCCCATTTATATAGCATCATGAAGGAACTGCAATCCCTAGGTAATTGAACTTATATAAAAAGGTGGTAAACTTCAAAAAAGTCTCCTTGTGGTTCGTAGGAATCATGAAAGATCTCCCTAAAGTTTTAAACTTGACACTTAACCCTTCCCCTTCACCGTTCGATGTAATAAATTAATTTTTACTATAATAATCATATATGTTATATAGTAATGTAGAAGTTGTCATATCATATTACCATCGTTCATACATTGAAGCTCACTTTATAGAGGCTGACACAGAGAGATCAACCCCTAACTTTTGAAACTATAACCTTAAAGGACTTTCTGTAATTTATCTTAAATAAAACCATATCAACAACTTCATGGAACTAACATATAACGTTAATGTTTTGCTTGATTGATTCGATTGTTGCAGGTGATAGTGGTTCTTGGTGTTGGGAATTTAACGCCGAAATCCCTAATGCAACGGTAACGCAGAATAGAGAACAGTACACAAGATTTACGAGGTTCGGCAACTGCCTACGTCCTCGGGAGCCACACAGTCAATTTCTTATTTAATCTAACAAGAAATTACAAATCAAGAGCAAATCTCTAAACTGAGATTCCTCAAACAAACACTGTAGCTACAGTGTTAATACCCACAATAAAATCCCCTCTTCTCTTTTCTCTCTCTTCTTAAATCCCCTTTCAAAACACCCTCGGGAGCCACACAGTCAATTTCTTATTTAATCTAACAAGAAATTACAAATCAAGAGCAAATCTCTAAACTGAGATTCCTCAAACAAACACTGTAGCTACAGTGTTAATACCCACAATAAAATCCCCTCTTCTCTTTTCTCTCTCTTCTTAAATCACTTTCTTTATCTCCCCTCAAATCACTATTTGAGAGCTGGAGATCAAAAGTAAAATCGCTGCTGCGATTTCAAAGGGGACCGAATGGGAACGCTGCTGCGTTAAGGGATCCACCGCCAGAGAAAAAATTCGGGGAGGAGGAGCACTCAGCTAGGGCATCGAAGGGGGGCTTTTATAGCCGTTCCTGGAGCTCGTCGAAGCTCCTCCGCCGTCGTAGGTTGGTATCCACCCTCAACCTAACAATCTCCCACTTGGAGACCAAACCGACGGCAACGGGCTATCTCATCAAGCTCCTTCTCCTGTGTGGCTCCGCCCTCATCATTTATGCATGAAGGCCAACTGAAGTTGCGCACAACTCCAGTTTCTGAACTGTCACCGTCTTTGTTAACATGTCTGCTGGATTCTTACTTCCTGGAATCTTTTCCAGTTTCAACACGTCATCTTCCAACAGGGATCTGATGAAGTGGTACCGAAGCGCAATATGCTTCGTTCTGGAATGAAATGCTGAATTCTTCGCCAAGTGTATCGCACTCTGACTATCACTGTGCAAAACATTCTTCTCCTGTTTGAATCTCAGCTCTGTTAATAAGCCCTGAAGCCATATCATCTCTTTACTGGCTTCAGTCACTGCAACATACTCAGCTTCTGTAGTGGATAGGGTAACGATCTTCTGTACCTGTGACATCCAACTAACAGCTGTAGTTCCAACGGTGAATACATAGCCGGTGGTGCTTCTTCGATGATCAACTTCACCGCCGAAGTCTGCATCTACGTACCCTTGCACTTCTACCTCTCCCTTACCAAAGTGCAAACACTTCTGTGTGGTGCCTCGTAGATATCTCAGAATCCACTTGACCGCTTCCCAATAAGCTTTTCCTGGATTCGACATAAACCGGCTGACCACTCCCACTGCATGGCCAATGTCTGGTCTCGTACAGACCATAGCGTACATCAAGCTTCCGATAGCTGAGGCGTAAGGTACCTGAGCCATACTCTCTTTCTCTTCTTCTGACTGAGGAGACTGATCCTTCGACAGACGAAAATGGCTAGCCAAGGGTGTGCTCACAGGCTTGGCGTCGCCCATGTTGAATCTCTGCAAAACACGGTTGATGTACTCCGTCTGAGATAACTGCAAGAGACCTCTCTTCTTATCTCTCGTGATTTGCATTCCAAGGATCTTCTTCGCTGGACCCAAGTCCTTCATGTCAAACTCCTTTGACAGCTGCTGCTTCAAACTCTTGATATCTTTCATATCTGCTCCTGCAACCAACATATCATCAACATACAGCAGTAGGATGATATAGCTGGACTGATATCTTTTGAAGTAGCAACAGTGGTCGGCGTTGCACTTCTGGAAACCTTCCTTGTGCATAAAGCCGTCAAACTTTCTGTACCACTGCCTTGGGGCTTGTTTCAGGCCATACAAGCTCTTCTTGAGTCTGCACACCAGGTTCTTCTTCTTTTCTTCTGAGAAACCTTCTGGCTGGTGCATGTATATCTCCTCTTCTAGATCTCCGTGAAGAAACGCCGTCTTCACGTCTAACTGCTCGAGATGAAGATCTTCAATTGCTACAATACTCATCACGGTCCTGATAGTATTTAGCTTCACCACGGGAGCGAAAATATCGGTGTAGTCAATTCCTTCCTTCTGCTGGAAACCTTTGACAACCAATCGGGCTTTATATCTCCTGGAACCATCCTGCTCCTCTTTCACCCGGTACACCCATTTGTTGTGGAGTGCCTTCTTACCCGTGGGCAACTCAGCTAGTTCCCACGTCTGGTTTGATATGAAAGACTTCATCTTATCTTTCATTGCAAGCTCCCACTTGCTCGCATCTCCACACTGACAAGCTTCATCAAAGCTTTCAGGCTCCCCACCATCTGTCAACAACAGATAGTTCATGTATCTCCTGTTGGGTACAGGAGGACGAGAATGGAAAGTCATCGTGTAGCCTTCACTAGCCAGCTGGCTTACTGAGATTAAGTTCCTCTTCAGGTCGGGAATATACCTGACATCCTTCAGCTCCCATACTGACCCATTCAGCTTAATCTTCACTACACCTTTGCCAATAATGGCACATGCTTGATCGTCACCAAGATATACATTTCCAAGGTTTCCGGGGATATACTTCTCGAGGAATTCTTTCTGAGAAGTAGCATGGAATGATGCTCCCGAGTCCAACACCCAAGACTCCTCCTTGCTCTCCAAAGAGCATATCAGCGCATCATCTCCTCCTGAGGTGGAGGCAACGTTCACATCTGCATTTGCCTCCCACTCCTCCCGTGCACTCCTGCACTGATTCTTGTAGTGCCCGGTTTTCCCGCACTTCCAACACTCGATAGCCTTCGAACTGTTGGGATTTCTGGATTTGAATCTCCTATCATCTGATCCATTTCCTCCGGTTGAGCTTCTACCTCTTGACTCTGTATGCAATACTGAAGAGGTTGTAGCTTCACCCGACTCTCTCCGTCGGATCTCCTCACTGAGAACCAGATCACGAACGTCGTCAAACTTCAACTTATTGCTTCCCGATGAGCTACTCACAGCTGTGACCGTAGCGTTCCAACTCTCTGGTAGGGAAGACAAAAGGATCAACGCTCGAACTTCCTCATCAAACTCAATATCAACTGAACTCAATTGGGTCGTGACTGTATTGAGTTCATTGAGATGATGTGCTACCGATGCACCTTCCGCCATTCGCAGATTAAACAACCGCCTCATCAAATGGACTTTATTTGAGGCTGATGGCTTCTCATACATATTGGAGAGTGCTGCCATAAGATCTGCCGTGGTCTTCTCCTTTGCAATGTTAAAAGCAACATTGCGGGTTAACGTCAAACGAATAACCCCGAGGGCTTTTCTATCCAGAAGATTCCAATCTTCTTCCTTCATACCCTCCGGCTTCTTCCCCGAGAGAGGTTGATACAGATTTTTCTGATACAGATAATCCTCTATCTATATTTTCCAGAATTCGAAATCTGATCCATCAAACTTATCTATTCTCGCTTTTCCCTCATCTGCGACCATGACTCCCACTTGAATCTGACTTCCTCTAGATCGTTTCACGCTCTGATACCAGTTGTTGGGAATTTAACGCCGAAATCCCGAATGCAACGGAAACGCAGAATAGAGAACAGTACACAAGATTTACGAGGTTCGGTAACTGCCTACGTCCTCGGGAGCCACACAGTCAATTTCTTATTTAATCTAACAAGAAATTACAAATCAAGAGCAAATCTCTAAACTGAGATTCCTCAAACAAACACTGTAGCTACAGTGTTAATACCCACAATAAAATCCCCTCTTCTCTTTTCTCTCTCTTCTTAAATCACTTTCTTTATCTCCCCTTAAATCACTATTTGAGAGCTGGAGATCAAAAGTAAAATCGCTGCTGCAATTTCAAAGGGGACCGAATGGGAACGCTGCTGCGTTAAGGCATCCACCGCCAGAGAAAAAATTCGGGGAGGAGGAGCACTCAGCTAGGGCATCGAAGGGGGGCTTTTATAGCCGAAAATTGACAGGCTGGCGACAGCCTGTCGCCAGCCATGCGATGGACGCGGAGGTGGGAGGCCAAGGACGCGATGGTCGGAACTGAGGGTCGCGTTCGCCAACGAGGGTCGCGTTCGCCCCAAACCACCATCGCGTTCGCCAAGCTCGAGCTCGCCTGGGGGGTCGCCGTCGACTTCGCCACGCTCGCCTGCGTCTTCCTGGAGCTCGTCGGAGCTCCTCCGCCGTCGTAGGTTGGTATCCACCCTCAACCTAACACTTGGTTCAGGTACGTGGGACCAAAACTTCAGCAAGGGGAACATATCAGCATTTGCTCTTGCATCCGCCTGTGCCTTTGTGTGTGGATGTCTCGGACTCTTCATGCTTCCTAAGCTCTCAAGATCGACCTTCAAGACTACCTATAGGTAGTAGGATGAATGTGAATGTCCCACACTTAGGGTCAGCCCTGGGGTAAGCCCACCAAGCCCCGGGGCTGGGGCAACCCAGGGCCGGGGGCAACCAATCCTCGGATACACATGAATATATAGGGAGAGGAGTCGAAGGAGATGACGGTGATGATGACGGCAGGCTTAGTGGAGATGATTCGGATAATGCTCCTCCAGTTGGGAGTGATCTATACAAAGATGAGGAGGACAAGGAAGAGCTGGAGAAGATGTCTGAGCTAGATAGAGAGATGATTTTAGCGGAGAGGAGTACTAAGATTGATGACTATATGTTGAAGAAGAAGGCAAGAGAGACTTCGTCCAAGGTAGAAATGAAGACAAGAAAAGAGTCTCCTCCCCCTTTACGTGGCCGGCCATCCCTTCGATCTGATAAGCCTGCCTTGAACGAGCTTCGAGCCAAGCGATAGTCCCACACTTTGATAAGTTAAAGGGCGTACGTAGTACGTTAATAGAGACAACTTGTTGTCGTGATATGGTTTGATTAGTCCAAATGCAAAATCTGAGTTGTATGCACATCAGATGCATGTCCATGGAAACAAGAAAGCACAAGATGGAGGGGTGGTGCAAGAAGTAGAAGAAAAGAGAAGAGAGACCAAGACAAGGATGATATTTAGCTAATCTTTTAGTTCTTTTCCCTTCTTTCGTGGTGGTATTGTGAAGTAGTTACTTTGCATGTGAAGTTATTTGTAATCTTT